CCTATAAGACTGTAGCGCGGCGGCGCGCAGCGACGTCATTCTAGGTTGCTAAGACAATGTTACTACGGTAGGCTGATCCAGGAAAAGCTAGAGAGAGTTGGGACTACCACCTGAGCGAGTGGCACTGACTTGGACGCGGGTAATGGCTAAGGGAAAACCAAGAAAAGAGAGGCTAAGTAGGGGTTGTGTGCAGATCAGATAACTTTGGTGAGTAGAAAAGAGCTGAGAAAGGTTGCATGATGAAAGGACGGCAAACGGGCGGTTAGCAAGCATACATTTAGCTTGGTAAGTACGTCAGCGCATTAGAGGCCAAAGCGCGGCGACGCGCAGTTACTCAAGTCACTCTGGGGTGCTAAGGGTATAGTGCTAAGGTGGACTAAGCCGGGAACAGCCGGTGGGAGATTTGGACTTATTTTTGAAGCGCTTTTAGACATTGCAGCGAGTAAGGGATAACATCATCAAGAAAGCAAAGGCTAAGGAGCGGCTGATCACTGACCAGCCGAGTTAAGCTTGTGAATGGACGAAGAGGTTGTGGCAAGTAAGGGGAAACTGCACATTTGGGAAGGAGAGGCTGGGATACGACATTTGGCCAACAAATGAGATAAAATTAACCACTAGAAGAGAGTTAAAGATTTTCGACGGATGCGTGGATAACTTAAAGGCGGAATGTAGCCGTAGATTATAGTTGAGGGAGCAAGCATGGTATGAAATTGGCTATCTTAGTAGTAGGGTCAAGGGCCGCAAGCTGGGCAGAGGACAGCGCTTTTGCAAAAGTTTGGGAAGTCGTCAGGATAAGGAATATGACAGGAGAGCTGTTATGAGAGGCGGATATGGTAGAGTGCGGTCGCAGTGGCCCGCTGGCAGCCATAAGATGAGAATCAGAGATCAAAGGGAGAAGATTTGTAACGACGTGTTGACGAAAAGCATACCAGTTTTCTTGAGGTTGAGTGCGATCTGGTAAGGAAAACGCTTATAAGTGGTAAGGTCCATTTTCCTACAGCTTGTCTTCAGGCATGTTAATGTTTAAAAGAATAAAAACGACTGACCGTGAGCTACCTATTAAGCATTGAACGGAATTGGATTGTTTTGGCGGATGCGCGTACAGGGTGTGGAAGCCTGTTTCACACATATGCAAATCTGTAGGGATGGAAGTCTTCATGCGTACCACTGTGGTGTTTCGGCAGGATAAGGGAGTGTGGCCGGTTACAAATGGGATACGAAATGTTCCTCGAAGAAAGGAAGGGTGTCAGTGAGCCCTTAAGTGGATCTTTGGTAAGCAGATATAAGCATCCACAAACGTTATGGCGCAAATTGTATGCACCGACCGTGATAATTTAGTGTGGGGTGGCCCTGAAGACGTCTGGTGTACGATCGTTTGACCTTTTCAATGGCAACCCCGTCGCATTTTCCGGAGTTGGTAAACACAATGCAGCAGTATTCTAGCTAGGGTCCGGAGCCGGTTTTGTATGGCGGCAGCCTGTATTCTTAGAGTGCCACGGATTTGAACATGTAGCTTATGATGGAGCGAGCTTTTGCTGAGCAACAGCTCACTTGTTCTGCGAAGTGCAAAGAACTGGAGTAATGCACACCTAGATTCTGAACAGTGAGGCTATTACCAAGTGGTGTTCCTTGAAGCGCTTCCGCCTTAGGCGAAACAATGCATGGGTATGAGAGGACGTTGCACTTTGTCGGTTAGCACACCAACTTCCAAGTCTTGTGCCAAGCGTCCAGAGTCCTGATATCGCTTTGTATCTGTGAAAGACCGGCTTGCATGTTTCATGGGTGAATGGAGAACACCAGCTTCATGTCGTAGTCAAACAGGTAGGACTTGTCATTTGGCATTACCCGGAAAACGTCATTGATATACAGCCATCATATTAGCGGGCCCACTACGTTTCCTAGAAAAAACACCACTTGTGACTGGGTTGGAGAATGACATAGACTTGCCCAAATTTAATGTGTGCGAGACGAGACATATGCTTAAAACCATGTGAACACTCGGTTTGGGAGTCCATATTATGCAAGATTTACTAATAGTTCCGCTTGTGGTACAATGTCGAAAGCTTTTCTCCTGTCAACGAAGGGGAGAACTATTGTTTGATTAGCATCAATCTGTCCAGTCCCATGGTTTCGAAACTCAAATTCGCACGCCTGACAAGATTTAAATGGTAAAAATCCGTGTCACCGCCTATTGATGAGGGTGCGACAAAGTAGAAAGTTCAGCGAGTTCTTCTTATCTATTCTTTCCATCCCTCTCAAAGAAATAGGCATGTGGCTGATGAGGCAGGGTTTTTCTATGTTTGGCGGCTACCTTTTTTAGGTCTGAAGACAAGTATACAATGCTTTCATGTAATCGGCTATACGCAGTATTTTACTGAGAGGGTAACTAAGTTAAGCAATATACCCGGAATATCTTGACCGCCGAGTAGCAGCAGTGCAGCTGCGAGACCGTCGGGGCTAGAGGATAGTGACAGCCTGATGGGTGGAACTACTCCCGTTACAGAACGTAAGTCGAAGGTATTTACGTGCAGCCAGTCCTGGGTAAGTTTGGGCACAACATTTGGTAAGATCCCGCTGATGTAAATAAAGGAATCGCAGTAGTGGCCATTGAGAATCTCAGGTATTCCCAGCGAATCACTAACTACGGACGAATTGAAAAGCCTCAGGGAGGTTTTGGATGTTGCTGTACGAGTGCTTTTACATTTCAGTAGCCAAGTGAGGGACTTGATTTTATTGTTGCTATCGTGGACATCACGCTCCACAGTTGGCTTAACCGATGTAGCGTCCCAAAAGATAACTGCTATCTTTATGTAGCATTTACTTGTTGACCATGTGTACGTTATTCATTCTTGTTTAAATCTTCCTTACCACTGGCTCGACACTTGACCGTCTTGTAAATTGCCACGGAAACCTGCTGCTCTTGTCTGTTTTCATCTGTCCGCGTCCTCTTGTAGCTCTTGTAGCTCGATATCCGCGCTTATTTTCGCGCACTTTCTCTGACTTGGATTTACTAGTCCTAAAAATTTGTGACCCCGATATACACGAGCGAATTTAAACGTCTTCCCATCGTTTGGCTTTTGATGAGGTCGTTCCTTTATCTCGATCACATTCGTGTATTTATCTGCCTCTTGCGTAGTGTTAATACTTTAATCGTGCTCCGTTCATCTATGCCCTTTTTGATTCACATTTCAAAAGTAGTATTTGAGTCGTTTCGCAGCGTAAACATGCTTACTTTGGCTTTTCCAAGTTTCATGGAACACAGCCAAGTGGTTGTGCCGCTGGCTGAAAACATCCTACGCTTCCCTTCGCATAAGGCAAAGTATGAAAAGATGAAGCAAACGCTTCTATAAAAAAAGTTACAGCCAAGCTCACTTGCTCGAGTTGAACAACATAATGGTCTCAAGCCGGAAGATTGCAAGCCGTCAAAATTGCTCTGCGAAATTCATCTTGAGAGATGAAGGGGCGATAAGCTGTGGTTTGCTCGTCTCCCCGAACCATCGCCGGTAATGATGTCCATGTTCCGGGCTACGCCCCGGAAAGCATTAGCTACCAAGGAAAGCGCTGCGTTCCTACGTCTTCCGCAACAGTAAAGCAGCAGCTCCGGTAGCCTATTCCCACCGATTAATAGCCAGCCTCATATTTGTTACAAGTCGTCAAGCTGATGTGACCCTAAAGACGAGGAATTTGTGCTACTTCGTAGTAGGCTGGAGGCAATGAGCGCTTCGAAGCAGTGTATGCCACGGTCAGATGCAGACCACATTTTGGCTACCTTACATTGCGGCTCGTCTGTGTTTGCACTGAGCACGTCTCGTTCGACATGAAAGAGTATTATTTTGCCTTCACGTTCTCAGACAGGTAATACCAAACTAATCGAAAAAGTATGTTGGTATAACCGCAAATCTGGTGGAAGAGCTAGGTGTTGTCGGGCCCCATGCCTTAGGCCCGACTCAAACGCTCCAGGGAAAGCGAATAGCCTACATACTAGCACGAACTACGTATCCAGCAATAACCAAGCAGATAGCCTGTTTAACACTGTCAACGTGCTTTTACTAACTTCCTCATCGACATGGGAGCAGCAGTCCACCCTTTCCCAGTGAACGCGAACGACAAGCACACGGATCATACGTACAACTTGCGTGCAGCCAACGGTTCGCCGATAGCTTCGTTTGGTCAGCGCATGATAAATCTGAACCTCAAACGTCGATGCGATGTTACGTGTCTTTTTGGCTGCGTCTGTATCCTTCGCAATCATCCATATCGACTTCATCCGACATGCTGGCTCGCTTGTTCATGCTGGTCGCCACAGACGGCCGTACTAAACTACAGCTTGAAAGCGTTCTTACTGGCACCCGGATAATCAGTCCCGTTTTTCGAACCACCGACGTATTATCAACTTATGCGAACCTACGAGTTGAGTACGCGCGACTGGTACGACCAGCCGCAGTACTTCCGCCAGCCAAGCCAGAGGCCGCTCACCACGTAGGCACTCGTAGGCATCCAGTTAGCGCACGACCAAGGCAGCTTGCTCCTGACAAACTACTTGCAGCACGAGCTGAGTTCGACCGTTTGCTTCAGCTCTTTGTCGTCAGATCGTCCAACAGTCAATGGACCTCGCCTTGTAGTGACCATGACATTTTACCCCATCAAACATCACACTCAGACTTGTGCACATTTTGTTTTACTTTGCACCCATCCCAAGCCTATATATACTGGACTGCAATTTTGAACCGGGTTCGCCATCTTGCCCGCGCGCTGCCGGCTGTTGTGCTCCTACGTGGTGTTACTCGTTGCTTCACCACTCTCTCCCATTTTCCTCAAGCTATATTCACATAGCTATTGTACATAGCTATTTTCTCAAGACAATCTTTATATCCCACCGTCTTCTGTCTCACCGGGCTACGGTTTTCTTGTGTAGCATTCGTCAAGCCGCTACATAATTGGTGACCCCAATCGCATTCCGGTGAGTTCGTTCCATTTTTTTGGTTTTTTCCACGCAAGCCATGACGTCAGTTTCTAAAAAGTGCGAAGATTCACAGTCGGTGCAAGCGGTATCTCTTGTAGTTCCACCATTTATTGAAAAAGATCCCGTTTTATGGTTCATGATTTTAGAAGCTGAGTTTACTTCTAAGCATGTCACTAGCGATTCTGCAAAGTTTAACCACTTGCTCACACGCTTGCCAACTGATATTACTATAGCGCTACGCGATCTTATTATTACATCTTGTCCTCCTGACCGCTATAATTCTCTCAAGAACGCTGTAATAAAGCGTGTTACTCCCTCATTGAAGTCCCGCCTGCACAAACTTTTTACTGGTCTTCAGCTAGGTTCTAGTAAGCCATCCGCGCTATTGCTAGAGATGCGTGGTCTTCTTCAAGGATTGCATATGGATGAGTCGCTGCTTCGAGAGTTATGGCTTCAGCGTTTGCCTGAAAACGTGCAAGCTATGCTATCGCTTGCGAAATCGCAACCTTTGTCAGAAGTTGCAGATATTGCTGATGATATGATGGATCGCTTCACCGGACCACCGTGTCCGTCGTCTAGTTCTCTTCGCTCACCTGACGTAGATTTCACTGTTGACCCTTCGGTCCAAACCATCGACACCACTACTCCACCTTCCACTGGTGAGCTCTTAACAGAGATAGCCGCGCTACGGCAAGAAGTTCAAAGCTTAAAGTTACATCGGCACCAACGGGATTCTCCATCCCGTTCTCCTAGCCCATCTCGAAGCCGAACACGACGCCCAATTTGCCGTTATCACGCACGTTTTGGAAGTTCCGCTCGAAATTGTATAAAACCATGCTCATTTCCTGTAACGAGAAAAAGGACAGGCCGACACGTATTGGCGACGAACGCCGTCGGCCGAAGTCGTCCAAGTCGCCTATTCAAAATCGTTGATAGGAACACCGGGATCATGTTCCTGGTTGATACCGGGGCGGAAGTTAGCGTGATCCCACCGGTTCCAGGCGACGCGACTAAGCCACAGACAACCAACTTGCGTGCCGCTAACGGCACCGCTATCCGAGTTTTCGGTCAACGCTCCCTTACCATTGACCTCGGACTACGACGTCCCTTTCGATGGATTTTCACCATCGCTGCCGTTCCATTTGCTATATTGGGTATCGACTTCCTCCAACACTTCGATCTTCTCGTCGATGCGCGTCATCGCAAACTCGTTGACCAAAAGACCCAGCTTTTCACATGTGGAGTTCGCACACCTTGTGTTTCTGTCACTCCCATTTACATTCAGCCTGAAGCTGATAAGGAATTTTTAGATCTGTTCAGACAGTTTCCGCAGCTCGTCCGCTCAGCTGACGCTACTCTTCCGGTCGCATCTAACGTTACGCACCATATACGAACCCGTGGCCCACCGGTTTCTGCACGGCCACGACGTCTCGCCCCTGATAAGCTAAAAGCCGCTAAGGCGGAATTCGAGCACATGCTCGAACTTGGTATCATCCGTCCTTCCGAAAGTCAGTGGGCCTCACCTCTCCACATGGTGCCCAAGAAAGGCGGCGACTGGCGGCCCTGCGGAGACTACAGGGCGCTGAACAAGTGCACAGTTGCAGATAGGTACCCTATACCGCACATCCAGGACCTTACAAGTAGTCTCGGTGGTAAGTCAGTGTTTAGTAAAATAGACCTGACGCGAGCATATCACCAGATTCCTGTAGAGGACTGCGATATCCCCAAAACGGCAGTTATAACACCCTTTGGTTTATTCGAGTTCCTTCGAATGCCTTTCGGGTTAAGGAACGCTGCTCAAACATTCCAGCGGTTCATCCATGATGTTACTCGTGGTCTGGACTTCGCATATCCTTACGTGGATGACATCCTGGTAGCCAGCGCCTCTAAGTCGCAACACTTAGAGCATCTGCGTATTCTATTCCAACGCCTATCTGATCGAGGCGTTACCTTGAACCCTAGCAAGTGCGAACTAGGAAAATCGTCGATCGAGTTCCTAGGTCACCGCATCTCAGCTACAGGTATTGAACCACTGCCTCAAAAGGTAACCGCCATCAAAGATTTCCCTGAACCTACATCGTTTAAACAGCTTAAACGTTTCCTTGGGATAGTTAACTACTATAGACGCTTTATTCCGTGTTGTGCTAGGATAATGCAGCCCTTGACTGACTTGCTTCGGGGCAATCAACGTTCGTTTGTTTTTACCAAGTCCGCGCGATTAGCCTTCTCAAACCTTAAAGACGCAATCGCTAATGCTGCTCTCTTAGCACATCCCGTACCATCTGCTCCAATTTCTCTCGTCACTGATGCCTCAGACGAGGCCGTTGGTGCTGTTCTTCAGCAGGCTGTCGACAATACCTGGCAACCTTTGGGTTTCTTTTCGAAACGGTTGCAGCCAGCGGAGACACGTTACAGCACCTTCGGGAAAGAACTTTTGGCAGTTTACCTCGCCATCCGTCATTTTCGTCCTTTTCTAGAGGGCAGAAGCTTTACCGTCTTTACTGACCACAAACCTTTAGTTTACGCCCTCGACTCGTCATCTGACCGATACTCTCCGAGAGAGATACGCCACCTGGACTATGTCTCACAGTTTACGTCAGACATACGGCACGTCTCAGGTGTGCAGAACTCCGTCGCTGATGCTCTTTCTCGCGTCAGCTCCATCACGTCCGCTGAAGGTATCGATCTAACGGCAATGGCTGCTGCTCAACAGACCGACCCAGAGCTGGATCAGCTTCGTAATTCTAGCTCCTTGTGCATACGACCAGTTCCACTGCCTACTTCGGATGGAACCATACTTTGTGACGTTTCGCAAAATTCACCACGACCAGTGGTTCCCCAAGCTTTCCGACGCACTGTGTTCGACATTCTTCACAGTTTATCACATCCAGGCATTCGTGCCACAGTTAAGCTCGTCACACAACGCTTCGTGTGGCGCAACGTCAACCGGGACGTTAGACAGTGGGCTCGTACGTGCCTTAGTTGCCAACAGTCTAAAGTTCATCGACACACGAAAAGTCCGCTTGGTTCATTTCCACTTCCTGATGCCCGTTTCCACCATATCCATGTTGACCTTGTTGGGCCACTGCCCCCATCTAATGGATGTGCTTACTTGCTGACTTGTATAGACCGCTTTACAAGATGGCCTGATGCCATCCCAATGCCAGATTGCTCATCAGACACTGTCGCTCGCGCTTTTCTAGAGCGCTGGGTCTCACACTTTGGTTGTCCTGCCATTGTGACAACTGATCGAGGTGCGCACTTCGCAGGCACATTTGCTCACCTTCTTCAGACCCTCGGCTGCCGTCACGTTCAAACGACTGCATTCCACCCTGCCGCCAACGGCATGGTTGAGCGTTTTCACCGCCAGCTGAAAGCTGCACTATGTGCACATGATAGCGCAGACTGGTACGAAGCGCTTCCCACCGTCTTACTTGGCTTACGAAATACTGTCAAAGCCGACATTAACGCTGCTCCGGCCGAACTCGTTTATGGCTGCTCATTGCGTCTTCCCGGACAATTAGTCGCCCCAACCCCGGAGAGGGCATGGAACTATAAGAGCTACATAGCTCGTCTGATGCACCACATGCGTCAGCTGCACCCCGCGAGACCCAGGGAACAACGCACTCCAGTGCACGTTCCGAAAGACCTTTCTACATGTTCTCACGTATTTTTACGTGTCGACCAAGTGAGACAGCCTCTCTCCGCACCTTACACAGGTCCATACCGTGTTATTAAACGGTCTTCAAAAACTTTGATGATTGACCGTGGGGGTAAAAGAGATACCGTCTCGATAGATCGCGTCAAGCCTGCGTTCATCGATGAACAACAGCTTGTTCCATCATCGACCTTAACGCAATCTACAGAGCCACCTGTAACGACGCCCAGCTTTTCAGCTCCACCACAATCCCAGTCACCAGATTCGCCTCAAACTAATACCAGTCACGGTAGAAGAGTTCGTAAACCTGTTCGTTTCTCCGATTTTGTCGAACTCATCCACACCTCATGAATCTTTTTCATTTTCTCTCATCGTTTGTATTATGCTTTTCCGTAAATATCTGAATCTGTCTCCCCGAGTTTTTTCCCCCCATCTATCAGGTAAAGTCATGAGGCTGGCACGTTTGGGTCCGTCCGTTCAATGGTTGGCTGATTTTCAATTGTTTGGTCGTTTGGATGCTTTGGTCTACCCCCAACGCTTTGTCGTCTCGCCCGCTCACGTTGGCCTTTGGATCGTGGTCTGCTTGGCTCAATTTGGCTCGCCTTGGTCGTTTGTCTGGCTCGCCTTCCTGGCTTTGGCTGCTCGTGTGCCTGGCTCGTTGTTTTTGGTCCCCCCACGGCTCGCCAATACGAACAGGATTTCAGCTTCGTTGTGGCAGTGGATTGGAATGCGGTGGGGGGAGTGACCTCTCCCAAGCGCACCGTCTTTCAGCAGCGGTGAAAGGTCCTACCGGCCCTTTTTCTGGATTATCCAGTTTTTTTGTAGTCCGGTGTGCCCGCTGGGACGGCCCACCGATGATGCATTCCAATCCACAAGAAGATTAAATAATCCAAATACAACCGAACTCCTGTGATTCTGCCTTTATACATTTGCAAGCCAACAGCGATCGAAGTCCTCGTCCCTCGGCCTTCTAGGGGGAGGCCTGTGTAGTGACCATGACATTTTACCCCATCAAACATCACACTCAGACTTGTGCACATTTTGTTTTACTTTGCACCCATCCCAAGCCTATATATACTGGACTGCAATTTTGAACCGGGTTCGCCATCTTGCCCGCGCGCTGCCGGCTGTTGTGCTCCTACGTGGTGTTACTCGTTGCTTCACCACTCTCTCCCATTTTCCTCAAGCTATATTCACATAGCTATTGTACATAGCTATTTTCTCAAGACAATCTTTATATCCCACCGTCTTCTGTCTCACCGGGCTACGGTTTTCTTGTGTAGCATTCGTCAAGCCGCTACAGCCTCTCCATATAGTCCCGAAGAAGTTCCTGAGGGTCTGGCGTTCTTGCGGCGACTACCGAACCTTGAAAACGGTTACCATGCCCGCTGGCTACGTGATCACACACATCGTGGATCTCACCGCCTGTCTGGTGAATAAAAATGGCTTCAGCCAAATCGAAATGGTACGCGCCTATAACCAAATACAGGTAGCCGAAGAGGACAACGCTAAAACTGCCGTGACAAATTTATTGGGTTTGTACTAATTCCTGCGAACGTCGTTTGGTCTAAAGAATGCCAGGCAAACGTTTCAGCACTTCATCAGCCAAGTTTGTCGCGGCTTAGCCTCCTCTTACGCTGATCTCAAAGACATTTAAATCGAGAGCTCTTTACAAGAAGAATACATACGTCACGTACGAGCAACCTTTTATCATTTTTCTCAATACGGGGCGACGATCAACACAGAAAAGTGTTCGTTTGGTGACGATTTAGACAACTATCTCGGCCCTCGTATCTCGTCTGCGGGCGTCGTGCCACTGCAGGATACCCTTCAAGCACTCATCGACTACCTCGAGCCACATACTTTCTAGCAACATGTTTTTGATGGGCTCGTCAACGTTTACCGACGGTTCATACAAAACTGTGCGTCGCCGATGCAACTCCTCACTAACCTACTGCAAAGGAAACTTAAGAAATTCGAATTCCTTGCCGTAGCGTGCGGTGCTTCCAAGTCGTACAAAGACGCTATCGCCAACATATTCCCTATAGCGCGACACGATCCAGCCGCACCAATGTCCCTCACTGCTGAAGCCTCGGAAGTAGCAGGCGGCGCTGTTTTGCAGCAAAGAAAAGCCGACACGTGGCAGCACAACATTTTATCCAAACGCCTACAAACTAACGAAGCTCGTTACAGTACGCTCGGCGGATGACTATTAGCCGTATACCTATCCATACGTTGCATTTGACAAGTCTTAGAAGGCCGTTTCCTTGCCGCCTCTTTTGAAGCACGTTAGCTCCAGGTGGGAAACTCCTCAAATACTGTGCCGCAATACCTAAAAGAAAAAGGAATAAAATGCAGCAATTGAAAGCCAGCTGAGCTACCGGTAAATAAATAAGTAAATTACTAGACCGTCTAGAGGCTGCACCCTCAAGGGTTCAGATCAAACTTTACCTTAATCCTATGCACTTGCATGGAAGTAGGCAAAATACGGGTATATGATCCTAGTTGGCAATTACAAATGCATTGGTATTGTTTGGTGCACAGCTGATGGGGTCGCAGGCGCCCACCTTGAAATTTTCTGATTCTTTCTGACGACATTAATCTCCACGTTCTTTTGTTGTGAAAACTGCGCAGAGCTGTAGTTGTGCCGTTTTGCTTCGAAGCAGGATTCAATTCACCACAAGTTCACTTTAAATTCATTAGACTTTTGGCCCGCTCAGTCGCCACAATTGTTGGTGCAGACATGGAAGAAATGAGAGTGGCGGAATTATAAGGGTTACGAAAAGTTAAAGGATAATTTCGATAAATGCAAATGAAAATAAAAGGATTTGTTAAGAG